TGCCGGTTGGGGCCAGGGGCACGGCAGTGGCTTGATGGATCTAATCTCCAAACCCACAGAGCAGCTCTGGTCACACTCCTGCCCCCAGGCCTGATAGCTCCCCGGGTACTGCTGTCTGTTATCTCTGGCTGTGGCTTTCTGCTTTTGTAATTTTTATTTTTAGGGTTTTTTTTTTTCTTGTGAGCTGGGCTACAAGCACATTGCTCTGGCAGAGTCATAACTGCTGGATGAGATCTCCCCCTTGCCACTTGCTGTTCCTGCAGCTTCTTTTGCTGACTTCTAACCCGAGAGCAGTAAAAGACATAGCTGAGAAGAAGCAGACGTGCCCCTGGGCCCTGACTGAACCCCAAGGCAAGAAATATCTTCATCTTATTTCCTCTTCTTACAGCTCTTCTGCCCCTTAACGGTGGCTCTGCGGGCAACCGGCCTCAGATCAGCTGCCTCTTGCAAGGGTTTGTGCTGTAGGATGCAGAGTCTGTCTCAGCCTCCTCTTTAGCCTCTTTTCCTTTTCTTTGCGTCCTCCTGCCTCTATTTCCACAAGTGAGCTCAAGTCGTGAGGGCTTCCAGTCTGAAATCCAGAGAGGCAGCTAAGGCTCAGTCCCAGCGGGGATTTGTAGAAAAGAGGGTTATTGCCATGAATCTAGCTGCTCTTCTGCCCCTTCACAGTACCTTTGAGAACATCTCCTTGCTCGTCAGGTCCCTCTCGGCACGAAATCGTAGAAATCACCTCATCCAAGATGCTCTGACACCAGCTGCACCACCGGTGCAGTCAGGGTTGGTGAAGGACGTTTGATGTTGGACTGTGTGCGGTGTAAGCATGGATGCTGCTCTACTCTGGCTACTGGGGTCTGCTCTGGTGCTTGTGTGGCCACCAGCCAGCTCAGTTGGGCAAGCTGGCCCACCAGAAAGCCATGTGCCTTTCTTTCTCTGGGCTGGATTTTGGGTGAATCACAGCCCTGAACTGCCCATTTCAGCCATGAGGAGGCTGGTCCTGATGCCGAGGAGGGGGACTGTGTGGCAGCAGGGCTGGCTGCTGCTTCTGGCAAGCTGTGCCTGCACCAGGGTTGCCTCCCTTGGAGGTGTTTGGGGTGAAAAAAATAGCCTTGGAAAACAACTGTTATGTTTCGGGAAGTGATGGGAGGTAAATGCCGAGAAGAAAGAAAGGCCAGGCATTGGGTGGTATGTCTGTCTGACACACTAATGGCAACAAAGCCTGGCCCAACGTCTTCAGCTATTCAACTGGCTATGGGACAGGCTCTTCCCAAACCTTTGATTTCTGCCTTAACATTTTTTTCCCTTTTCCCATCCTATCCAGAACCGTCGTTGTAGAGGGGCTGGAGCAAAACCATCAAAGCTAATAGTTCTGGCATTCCCTCTTAGTAATATTGAAGTGTTTGCTGAGGTATTTTAGTTCCTGCCTACTCCTTTTTTCCAGGCGTGTTCTTGTTGACTTTAAATAGCTATTAAGAAAGTGCTCCAACAGCAGGGCTGCTGTGCAGAGCTGATGGAAACCTCAAGGGTGGATCAAACCTGTGGTGGACCATCTCGTTCTGATGCTCCTCAGACAGAGCAGCAGACATAGCCGCGGGGCTCTGCTTCTCCAGCTCTCACCCAGGAGAGGATAAGTGCAAGGTGACATCTTGAATCCTGTGGCTTGAGCTGGGGAGAAAACCATCACTGTGTCCTCAATCAGCAGTTGGCCTCAACAGGTCTTCTGGCTACCGGAAGCTGGAGGAGCTCTGTCTCTTTGCTGTAGTTCCTTCCCTCCTAGAGAGGAACGCATGGGCAAAGCCAGGTGCTTCTCCAAGAGTGCCCCATGGAGATCCCCAGGGAAAAGCCAGTCTTTTGGAGAGGAACTGGAGCACCAAGGACTTTCTCTGAGGGGAGTGTTTATCCCATTATTTTCTGAAAATCATTTCCTACCGCACTGGGGAATTAGCCTGCCAGAGTACAAATTACCCAGCAAGGAAATCACACTCTCCAGATTAATTCCTAGCTGCTTTGTCTCTTCCGTGTTTGGCTGATGTAAGTGTTAGGTAAATATTTGTACAACGCAGAGAATTGCCCGCTTTCTTCTCTTTTCCAAGGGTCAGAGAAATGTCAGCTGTTAGCACTGGTGTGCAGATGGGCTTCTGTCTTTGCTGCGAGGTGGGCTCCATGCCAGCCGCGTGCAGGAACCGAGGTGCAGACGAGCCCGGCAGTCGCTGCTGTGGGATGGCCGGCTGTGGTGGCCAGCATCCTCTTCCCAGGAGAGGCTGGTTCCTGACACTTTGTCCTGAGCTTACTCCACAGAGCAGTGAAACCAAATAATGTCTCCCCTCTGCACAATAGGAAAAAAACTGCTTCTCTTGGTGTCCTCGCTCGGTGAATCTCCATGGGTGAACCGACTTTTTTTGCTGCTTTTTTATTTTATTCCCATTTTACTTGGTTCCTCTCTAATTTAGCCATAGAATCATAGAATGATAGAATGGTTAGAGTTGGAAGGGACCTTAAAGACCATCAAGTTGCAACCCCCCTGCCATGGGCAGGGACACCTCCACTAGAGCAAGTTGATCAAAGCCCCATCCAGCCTGGCCTTGAACACTTCCAGGGATGGGGCATCCACCACTTCCTTGGGCAACCTGTTTCAGTGTCTCACCACCCTCACAGTAAAGAATTTCTTCCTAATATTTAACCTAAATCTCCCCTCTTCCAATTTAAAACCATTACCCCTTCCTGACAAAGAGTCCCTCTTCGACTCTCCTGTAGGCTCCCTTCAGATATTGGTAGGCTGCTATGAGGACTCTTCTGGATCTCTTCTCTGAAAAAGCGTGCTCCCCTCTCCCAATAGTACAACGAGCCCTTGAAGCAGTGAGTGCTGAATTTCATGCGAACTATAAAGTCCAGTTGGGAGTGGGGCCGTGTGTCCAGCTGCAGGACACTCAGAAGCAGTGGTTCCTGCCTCATTGCTCTGAACGAGGTGGAAGCTCACCAGCTCATTATATTATGTGAAGAAACAGGAATTTCTCCTTCTTTCTCATGACAGTCAGTGTCTGAACCACGAGATGCGCTTAGCTGCATTAATCAGTAGATTACTCACCCAGAGTGTCTGACTGAAAAATCTTCTGCAGAAGATAAATATTGATGTTGATATTTTTAGCCATAGACTTAAACCTGTAGCTTCAGATCAGAATCTGGGGGTGGGAAGACCTAGATCAGAAATTTGTGGCGGTTCAGCATCTAACAGGGCCTGAACAAAACCCACACATCTAAGACAACACTCATGTCAGGAAAGCAGAACACCCTGGTTGCCTCTCAGTCTTGTCTCTCAGTTGCATCTCCAACTACTCACTTTCACATTTTCCACATTTCTTGCCCTTTTTTTCACCAATTGTCCTCTTCTTTCACTACATCATAAGAGACAGCTTCAGCATCTTTGCTTTCTACTTACCTCTGCCAGACCTTGCAGTGCCCGGATTGAGGAGCAAGTAGAGACAGAGTTTTGCAACCCTGTTTGTAGGTGCAATAACAGGACAAGAGCATAGCACAGCCAGGGAGGGGGATCTGTCAAAGGGTTGTTTGTGAATTCTAGTTCCTGGAGTTGTTTTGGATTTGCCTTGGCCTCTACATAGTTTGGAGATGTTTTGGAGCTGATCTGGGTCACTTGGCTTCTAAATTCCCCCTCCAAAGCGAACCGATGGAGCATGTTCCTACTTAATGCCAACCCACCATGCTGCTGGGTTGGGTGGGCAGGGTAAAGATGAGTGGGTAGGGTGAGGATGGGTATGCTGGCTCCAAAACAGTAGAGGTTTTCCCAGCAGTGGGCTGTGCTGCCCCTTCAGAGCACACCCCTGCCAATTCTGGCTGCAGGAGCAGTGCAGAGGGCTCAGACCATTTGTCTTAATGCTCAGACTTGAAGCTGGCAGGATGGTTCCCTTTATATACCAAGGCAGCCAACTCCTCTAGACCTCCTAGAGCTTTGGGGATGATTTATATTGTTAAAGAAAACGGGCAGAGAGCCTGGCTGCGCTGCCATGGACATTAAGCTGGTCTGCCACCAGCCTGGGAGAAGCAAGTGGCTTGCGGAGATTTTGGCACCTGCACTCCTCACAATTAAGCTATCGTGCAGTGTGGGCAGAGTGCTGAGCTGCTGGCAACTCGGTTAGTTGCTGACTCAATCCCAAAAATGTTTAGCAGATCTGAAAACCACATAGTGTGAGCCACCGTAACGCTGCTGGGAGGCGTGAGCTCTGCTCATCAGCGCTGTCTCGTTAGTGATACGGACAGCAGTTATGAAGAGCTACAAGGTTATGCTGCATCTGCTCGTCTTTGTCCCTCCTAAGCCCAGGAGGCCAACGGAGATGTAGAAGGAAACCCAAATTGATCCTGGCTCCTGGATTGAGCAGATTGGGAGGGATGGGGTGTTGAAGTTGCTTTGAACCTGGAAGCTGACTTCACTTAAATAGCGACATCCTCAACCACATCACGGCTAATATTTTAGGTATTACAGCTGAATGTCCCATCAGATGCATTCTTTGCCATCATTTCCTTCAAGAAAAGAAGATTGAAAGCTTTATTGTGCAAATAGGTGCATATTCAGGATAATATTCTTTTGATGAGTAAACTAATTAGTAATCTGGTTATTGTCTTATTTTTCTTGGGGATTGCTAATTAAAAAACAATTGGTGTTCTTTAGTTTGACCAATGGACTTATCTGAGGGATCTACAAAAAGTGCTGTGGTGATTAATGAAATCTCTGACGTGTTTTAGAACTATGATGAATCTTTAATATGGCAAATTAATAAGGAGGAGGGAAGAGCTTTTAAGGAAGACGAAGGCAATTTCTCTCTGTGTGTCAGCCTGCCAACTCCGAGTAACATAAACAACTCCTGGTCTCTGCTGGGCCGTTCCAGAGTGTTAGAGGTCTCTCAGCCTTGTAAAGGACCAGTTTGTTCTGGTAACTGCTGCGGGTTCTTTTTTTAGCCTGTACTCTGACATCTCTTTCTGTTTCCTCTGCACAGGATACGAAAGCTGGAGGGAGCTGGCTAAGGCTCTGGCAGACACAAATGTCCCAGGTGGGGACCCAAGCCTTCAGTTTCACGATCCACAGAAGCTGGGACACAAGGTGAGGAGTCTTAGGGTGAATTCTGCATGCTTAGAAGGGCGGACCTTCTGATGCCGGCCCCAAGAGACAGCTCTCTCTTCACGCAGGAAGGAGAGCATGCCACAGGGCAAAATCTGAGCTGACTCACAGCAATGTGAATGTACAATGACTCCACTGTAGTCAATTAAGTTATTTTAGGTGTACTAAGCCGCAGCAGTGGGCTGAAGCCGGCGGGGTATGTGGCACAGGAAGGTAGCATTAAGCAAGATGGAAGCAGAAATGAAAGGTCAACGAGAGAGCCTGTAGCTCTCTAGTGAAGCACATCTCAGTACTCTTGCCTGAAGGAAGTGTTGGGAGAACTATTGCTTGGACCTTTTTGAAAGAAGGACGGGAAAAAAGTAAAAAGGGAGAATGACCTAAGTTTTAACTCTGTGCTAGCAAACAGTTATAAAGTGCTGGTATCCTTTCCCCTCAGTAGCTCACCATGGAGATTTGCTGTCAAAAAAGCCAGGGAGTATTTTTAACCTGCTATGGCCATGATAATTGTCCTGTCCTTTGGAAAAGGAGCTTGGGAAAAAAAAAACAAAACCAACTTGCTTTGTTCTCACATATTCTTGTGACCAGGTTTGAGCTCTCTTGTGTGTCAGTGCTGGGTCATTCATCAGGTTATTTTGACTTTTCCTCTACTTGTATTTCAGAACCAAGAGCTGCAAAGAAATGGGAGGAATAAATCAAATTACGCAGCTGTGGACAACCCTGTCCCGTGGATGCCAGAGGTGAGTGCCTTCCTCCATCATTTTACATAAGGGAGCTGTAGCTAGAGACCTGTGCAGCGAGAAAGGAAGGCAGGGACCTCTGCCTGGAAATTCATTTGCTTCACTAGAAGTCCGTTCCCTATCACCCCCTCCTGGCTTAATGACACTTACAGACCTGAGTAATCATCTGGAAAGACAGGAGTGTCCAGATTCCTGATAATTTGTCTCCACCAGCCATCAAGGCACCAAGCACACACCTATCATTCCCTGAGAGCAGGAGCCCACTACCTCCCCAAAAGGTGAAGTTTATTCAGGGCTGGGAGTGCATAGGGCCAAGCATTCAACAAGCAAATACACGACTGTGGCACGCAGGAGTGTCACGCTCTACTCTTGCTCTGGCATTTGCTTGCTATCCAGCCCCTGTGTGTCATATGTAGAGATTTCTCCACTTCAGTGACACTTCTGATGAACAGAGACCTTCTCTGGTGACCCTTGAAGACTGGGGTAAACATTCCTTTTGTTTCCTTCATGCCTCGTTTATTCTTTCCTCCCCTGCTCCCTTATCTCACCATTCCTTTTCAGATAAGGGAGCAATGTAGCTTGCTGATAATGAGAGGGACACCAGCCAGGGGGCATTTAGCTAATGGAGTCAGCTCGCTAAATTCCTCTAGGTGATTAGAGACCTGTACAAATTAGAAGGGCCTCTGTGGGAGGGAGCAGGCTGCTGTACCTGTGCTCAGGGCAGGAGATGATCACCTGCCAGTGGAGGCAAAATGCCTCCAGCCATCAAACTGAACGGTTGAGGTCCCTGAGGCAGGAGCTAAAGCTTTCCTGGTGCTGGCTGCTTTCCAGTGCCCAGAACCAGACCAGACCATTGATCTGTTCTGCTGCATCAGCTCTGGTGAGTGCTGGTCCCAGCTGGAGCCTGGGGGCTTCCTCTGGCCGTGGGGCCTTGCAGGCAGCGGGCAGGCAGGGCTGCCTCCCAGATGAGCAGCTGCTGGCAAAGGGACAGCGGGGTATCAGGGCTAGGACTGCTGCAGCTCACAGGGATCACAGGGACCTCTTACTGCTCCCCTCTACCATGGCACCAGCTGATGCAGGCCCTGCATGGCATCCCCCAGCTTCTCTGAGGCTTTGCCCGGTGTCTCTGATCGCCTCCCTGGTGATTTCTGAAAAGCATGTTAGTTTTGAAACCTGCTGTGTGTGTAACGAGCCCAGAGAAGTTGTGGATGCCCCTTCTTTGGAAGTGATCAAAGCCAGGTTGGATGAGGCTTTGAGCAACCTGGTCTAGCAGGGAGGTTGGAACAAGATGATCTTTAAGGTCCCTTCCAACCCAAACCATTCTATGATTCTATGAGCCTTTACTAGGTTAGAAATGCAACTGGGGGATATGTGCTGTGGGTTGGATGAAGGTATGTCTTTAGCGCAGCCCTGATCTGCAAAGCCCTCTGCTTGGCTGGTGGGGTGACTTCTCGTCCTTGTATACTCTTGTGTCAGTCAGGGCATTCACCAGCCTGCAGACCTGCTCCCTCAATGTGGTGCTGCCAAGGGGGGGAGCGAATGGAGAGGTCTTCTGGCCAAGGGGAAGGGATAGGACTTGAGATGTGCATTTTGGAATGGCCCCACACCTGGCAAGGTGCTGCCTTGTCCCGCACTGCTCCCCGTTGGGGAGGAGAGCTCTGCCAGGTAGAAGGGCTGTTGCCTGAGGTGGGCTACGTTGGGAGTTTGTGGGTGCCCGAGTCGCTCACCGTGCCCTCTGTTAGGTGGTGTGTGGCAGATGCGCCATGAGAAGACTTTGAGTCCCAGGCCGTTCTCTTTGTCTATATAAAGCAAAGTTTGCTGCCCTTACTGCGTCACTGTCTCTACCCAGAGGGTCAGCAGAGCTACCCTGACTGCAAACAGAGGCCAGTGGTTCACCAGTACCAGATGCAGGAGATGGAGAGGGATCCACGAGCACAGCTCTGTATAGAACTGTATGCTGTCCTCTTAATCACCAGCTGAAATTTCTCCTGGCCTAGGGATTAAGTTTTTCTGTAACTCTGCCCAAATTAATTACCCAGGGTCTATGATCCCATTGTGCTCTCCCTGCAGCATCTCTAAGAACTTAATTGCAGCCTGATTCCCGGGGCGAGAGGCGGCAGGTTGCCTCCCACAGGTCAGGGAGCTGGGCTTTGTTTGAATAGAGAGGTATATACCTGACAAACATAAATAATTGACAGGGCTGCAGGGTTAGCTGGCAGTCAACACAGCTAAAAAAAGGACAGGTTTCAATTCTCCTCTTTCAGTTTCAGATGAAATCGGCAGTTTAAGTCTTCAACCTTGGATAAATGTGGTGGGAAATTGTGTCTGTAGGAAACCCCTAGTGAAGTTATACCATGTGTATGGGAGAAGACGGGGTTCAGCCTCACTCCTGAGCTTCTCAAGATGGGAGGAGGTGCTCAAGCGGGTCCAGAGAAGGGCAATGAAGCTGGTGAGGGGTCTGGAGCACAAGTCTTACGAGGAGAGGCTGAGGGAGCTGGGGGTGCTCAGCCTGGAGAAGAGGAGGCTGAGGGGAGACCTTCTCGCTCTCTACAACTCCCTGAAAGGAGGGTGTAGAAAGGTGGGGGTCGGTCTCTTCTCTCAAGTCACAGGCGACAGGATCAGAGGAAACGGCCTCAAGTTGCACTGGGGGGAGGTTCAGGCTGGATATTAGGAAGAATTTTTACACTGAAAGGGTTATCAAGCCTTGGAATGGGCTGCCCAGGGAGGTGGTTGAGGCACCATCCCTGGAGGTGTTCAAAAGGTGGGTTGACGTGGTGCTGGGGGACATGGTTTAGTGATGGGATTTTTTTGTCAGAGTTAGGTTGATGGTTGGACTAGATGATCTTGAAGGTCCCTTCCAACCTAGATGATTCTATGATTCTATGTCTGCGCAGCCTCAGGGCTTCCTTCTTGCTGGAAGGAGGTGTGAGGGACATCCAGGAGCACAGCCACATTGCAGGCAGCGCCTGTATAGGTGTATATACGGTGTGTATACTACACTATATACAGGTGCATATTCTGCACAAAACCAGAGCTTTGTGCTAGAGCATCCTCCTGCTACCAAGCCTGCCCTAGGAGGAAGCATCCTTTCCTTAGAGGACTAAAGGACAAAGCTATGGCCGATCGCTCTGTCCCTGCCCACGTTCCTTCCTCGCCCGCTCTCGCCCACCAAGTGACAAGGCTGGGTGGGACAGGGGGGGCTTTGTTGCTAACTTGTGTTGACGGATTCCCACAAGTGCCCGGCGCGGCAGAGCTTGCAGCAGAGCCCAGCTGCTGGCCGCTGAATGTCACCCCAGTCAGGGGAGCTGGGCCAGGCAGGAGGAGGGGCCGCGGCCGCTCTGCGGAGACAGAAGAGTCTTATGAACTCAGGAGCTTCCAGTCGGCGGCACAATGTCGCCTTTCTTCCCTGGCTCAGGCCCTCTCTGTGCCCTGTTTATCGTCCCCGGCGCTGCGCGTTCCCTGGGCTGCACGCAGCTACGCAGCTGATTTGCCTCCGGGATGCCAAAGCCACCCGGGATTAAATTAGGAAAGACCTCTTCTCTCCATCCTGCGCCAGTTCCAGTGCAGCAGGTCGTGTCTGCACTGCTGCAGCCCTCCCAGCTTTGCTGCTCCCCCCAGCCTCTCCTCTTGCTTTGCCTTCTTTCCCTGGGGGTCCCTTCAAGCTGGAGGGGAACAGATTTAGATTGGAGATTAGGAGAGGGTTCTTCACTGTGAGGGTGGTGGAGCACTGGAACAGGTTGCCCAGGGAGGTGGTTGAGGCCCCATCCCTGGAGATATTCAAGGTGAGGCTCGACGAGGCCCTGGGCAACCTGGTCTAGTTGGGGGTATCCCTGCTGACTGCGGGGAGGTCGGACTAGATGACCTTTGGAGGTCCCTTCCAGCCTGGACAATTCTGTGATTCCATGATTCTCACCAGGAGGCTCTGGGTGTGTGGTGACACCTCTCTGGGATGGTTTTGACGTGATGGGGTTGGATCTGGGGAGAGAGGTCCGTGCTCTCTGTGTGCCTGATCCTCCTTTATGGTCTGTTTTCCTAGGAGGGGCTGATAAACTAAAATTCCTCTCTAGAAGGAAGCAGAAATACCAGAGTCTCCTAATCCAAAACCAGGGCTGCAGGCGGGTGCTAATTCAACACGCTCGGTGGGAAGGGTCGGTGCTGGGGCTCCGAAGCCACAGATGCTGCTGCACCAACGCCAAAGCAAGGGCCTGTCCCAGCTTTCAGCTCCCTGCATGTGTTAAGGTTGGGCTCTCCCCTTGCCATGCTGTGGCTGTGTGCCCACAATGGTACGGTCAGGAGGGGATCAGCCTGCCCAGACCACCACGGGAAGAGCAGCTGGTGCTCACGCCGTGCTGGCCGTGCCCTTGGTGCATGACCTGTGCCCGTTTTGGATCCGAGCTGGGTTCTTGCAATGCTACTATTTCAGCAGGGTGGAGAGAAGCAACTGGGAGGTGGGGTTGGGACGGGGAGGTAAGCCAAGGGGCAGGAGGAGCCCTCTAAATGGGAAGGCTCAGACCACGTAATACCAGCTCCCACTGAAAGCCCGGACTCTTGGCTTCTATTCCTGGTTCTGGCCAAATCAGGCTATCCAAAATTTTCTAAGCAGATGTTTCCAAGGGGAGAAGGGGAACTTAACTTGTTGCTTACCAGATCCTAAGCTTGCAGCCCTTTGAAAATCAGGGCCAGGTAGTTCCAAGCGGGGAAGTCAGACTCAGTAGCCATGTTTTACAAAGTCCATCGACATTTCTCGGCTGCGTGCATGAATTGGGAATGATGGTCCCATTTATCTATTGCTGCAATCTGCAAAAGCAGGGTTTTTTTACTGCGTCTTCCAGAGGAGGCCCAAATAGCAAGCAGGGGAATTTCTCAGCTGCCTGCGATGGGCAGCCATGAGTTGAGTCGGAGGGACAGAGGTGATAGGGTTTCAAAACAGCTGCTGCACTGATGACTTGTGGGGGCCTAAAATTAAAGCCGAGCTCAGTTTTCAGTCCCAGAGTAGCGCTTTGGGCAGCCAGCACCTATCTGTCAGTAATGTTCTTCTTTTCCCTTTCAGAGGAAGCAGAGAGTAACTTAGGCTGCTGTAGCGCAGAAGAAAATGTGTTGCTTTAGAAAAGACTCTGAAACCACATGCAAGAAATGCTTATTATTTACCAGTTAATTATTTTTAATAGCTGTGAGTGCAGGAAAGTAAGCAATCTTATTAGCACCTTCCAGAATCTCCTCTCAGGTGGCTTTGTAGAGACTTTGGAGAGAGAGGTGTCAGGCTAGAAGTCTCAGGGACCATCTCTTAGAGCACTGATGGAGCACCTAATACAGTGGTGTCTACCATATTTTTTCCTAGGCTGCCCTCTCCCTAATACTGCCAAACTCAGCAGTAAAGTATTGTATTAGAGTGGGACTGGTCCAAGATTCCTCTGCAATCATTTGAGCAGGTCTAGTCACTCTTTTGGGACTTCCCCCATAAAGACCTGGTTTGGCATTTGGGCTACCCCATGCCAAAGCCAGCCTAGTTCCGTTGCAGTCCTGAGCCTCGGGAGCATCCGCTGGGTCTGTCTTTGCCAGGAGGGGACTGCAGCACCAGCCTCTCCACAGTGTGGGAGTGTTGTGCTACATTTGATAGAGATCTGAGCCTGCTGTCTGCAGCGTGCAAACAATTATCTGAGACGGAAAACCGGCATCACTGGTGGATGCAGCAGACTGCCATAAGACTCCGTTTCTGGCAGTGACTCTCTGTGGATTCACCTCACTTCATGTTCCACAAGAAACAGCAATTGTCATTATTTGTTTTGGCTGAGAAAAGCGGTGTAAGACCCTTGGGTATGAACCTGGATTTGGCCAAGGGGCATGGGACTGCCCAGCAATTATGTTCCAATTCAGTGTTTGGCACACTTGCAGTGATTTATTTGTATTGCAACTCCTTGCAGAGTCCCAGGTTTCTCTTGGCTCCATCCATTGCCCCGAGCCCTCTGGGTAGTTCCTCCCTGATTTTGTGCAGCGTCACCCTGGGGAATTTCATCCACTTTGTTTCACTGCTTTTCCTCTTGCCTGATGGGCAGAATCCAAGCTGAGGAATGTCAGTAGAGGAAAAAAGAGGAGGAGATAGTAGTGGGGAACGACATGAGCTTGCAGACATCAGTCAAGCTCTGGCAGCGCAGGCACCAGTGAGAGAGGGCTGACGAGAGACCACTCAAGAAGAGCAGCGGTTGTGAATGTGTTTTGCCTGGCACACAGAGATGGTTTTCACGTGCATGACTAAAGCCCACAGCTCACGAGGAGCATTACGGCAGGAGCTGGTGCCAGGCCAAGTCTGCTCCGCGTCCTTCCTTCAAGCCACAGCTTATTACAAAACGAAACCCCAGCCCACTGTCCTGGGAAAATTAATCTCCGTGAGGCGGTTTCTCTGCCAGGAGAACACGGAGGGGTTGGGCCTTCCTTCAACCCTGCAGCTTCAGCCCTGCTAGACACTCCCCAGTGAAAACTAAGAATTTGCTGCCATCTGTAGACATCTGGGTGCTGTTCAGGCACTTTCCCCAGCTCTGCTCGCACAGCCCTTATATAGGCAAGGCAGCCACAGCAAAACCTCCCCAGTCCCAAGGCAACCTATTCCTTTCTTCAGCGTTTCCCCATCTAAGGTAACTTCTACAGTCTCCAGCTTATTTATTCTCCGCTGTTGGATGCTGATCCTGCGAGAGGAGTTTCAGCATCCAGCTCCACTGGTTGCAGGGAGAGAGCTTGGACTTTGCTGGGGGACAGCCAGCTCCTCCCTTCTGAACAGCTCTGACAAAAAGCAAGTCTGTCCCTTGAGGAGCGTATTGCTGAAATCCCACAGCGGCCAGCAAGCTTTTCCCAGCAAAGCTGTGCTCCAGGTCTCTGTTGGGCACCAACAGCCTCTCCGGTCAGGGCCAGCTGGGTAACGTGGACAGCCATCTGTACCCACATTGCACACCCTTCTGTGCTGTCCAGGAGGTGACCCCCACTCCCCCCAGCATTTTTGTGGCTCTGTGGGCACATAGAGGCTATGCTGTCCACTAACCCGCCTGTGCTGCTGCTCCTCACCCTCCTGAGCCACCCTCTCTCTGTCCCCACCGTCCTCCATGAGCTTTAACTCGCAGACATGCTTTGAGAAGGGCATCTGCCATCTTCCCTTCCTAGGGTGTCCCCTCTTCCTCAGGAAAGGATCAGAAAAATAGCCCTGAAATGGTGAGGGAGTCCAAAGCACCTTCTTGGAGGACATAAGACCCTACACTCTCTTTGCTGGATCACGGAGGGCTATAGCCACCCTACACCATGTCCCACACCATGGCCTCAGAGCACAGCTCTCTGGTTAAACACCTTCTTGATGGAGCAAAATGCAGTGAACCCCAGCCACTTAACTGCGATGTCCCAGGCATTATTGCAGTTCCCTGGTACTGTTCAGACTGTCACCTGTGCCAACCCCAAACCCTCAGCAGATGAGAAATGGGGGTCTGGACCCATGTTTCGTGCAGACCAACCCATTGCAGCAGGGGTGTCTTCCTTCGCTCTCAGAAGTGCTCTGGTCCCAGGGCTGGGGCTGAGATTGGCAAAACAGGGGAGGGATGCAAGGGGGGGGACACAGCAATTCATGGTGACCCACTTCTGCCCCCCAGTTCCAGGGCCAGGCCAATCTGCACGTGTTCGAGGACTGGTGCGGCAGCTCCACTGAGCAGCTCAGGAAGAACCTCCACTTCCCTCTCTTCCCCCACGTGAGTAAGACTGCGACACCCTCTCTCACAGCTCTGTTTCCCAGCTGGGTTGCCCCTGCTCCCTTCACGTGCTGTTCCTGTCCCTCTCCATCACCTCCTCTGTCCTCCTGCTGAGGGAGCAGGAAGCTTTCACAAGGGTTCCATGGTGGCAGCTCTTCTGCTGCACGGGGGAGGCTCGTTTTACCCATGCTGGTCTGCCAGGCCTCAGACAGAGGGTGAAGAAGCCCTGTATTTGGTGCTGTCCCTCCAACTGGCTAGTGAACACAACGTCCTGTCCCCACCATCTCACACACATCCCCCATACAGCTGTCCCTTCCACAGCAGCACTTGTTCTGGTTCGTCTCTCACCCTGGCCTGCTCTTTCCCGCTGCCTTTTCCGAACACCGGGCCCCATCCTCCTCCCAGAGCAAACCTCATACTTCCCTCTACCCACCTGTCCCAGGAATTTTTCCATTCCCCCCTTAGTTCCTCTTGCATCTAATTATTTTTATTATTTTTTTTCTTCTCCCCTTCAGACACGAACTACACTGAAGAAGCTGGCTGTGTCCCCAAAATGGACCAATTATGGTCTCCGGATATTTGGCTACCTGCATCCTTTCACTGATGGTGAGGGCTCTGAGGCTGCTCTGCCCTCACTCGCGTCTCTTCTCACCTGTCCCTCCCTCCCCTCCTGGCAATGAACAGTGGTACCTCCACCCCAGCAAGCCCAACACCAGGTCCCTCATGGGCCCATCTAGCTTTGCGTGACGGGCAGTGGCCTTGGCATGGGTGAAACACATCTGCCTCCCCTGTAGGGCGGGAATGAAAAGCACAGAAGAAAACAGATGGGAAGTGCTAGCTGAAAAAACAATGCTGTCATGAATACACAGCCCCATGGCGTGTACGTGGGCACGAGCGATCCCCAAGCTTTTCCTCCCTCCTTCGCATGCGCAGGACTGTACATGACATCATTTGTGTTCCTGCTGCTCCCTGGGTGCATGAATACCATCTGACAGCAGCTGACATCTGTATCACCCAGCTGCATGCTTTTGCCCGGAGCAGCCTGCTGGCACTCACCCACGTCTCCTGGTCCCCCTGGCCCTCAACTGCCATCCCTATAGCCCCAGCCAGAACAGTGAGACTTGAGCACCTCGGCCTCCCTTCGTGGCTCCACGTGCACATTCCTCCATCACAACGCAGCTTCTCACACAAGAATTTGCTCTGGAAACAAAAGGAGAGGCAGGGAGACTTTGCATGGACTTCTGAGCTTTCCAGGTTAGGTGTCAGGTGAAGCCAATGCAGGAGGGATAGTTGCGTCTGTAAAGTTTTCAATCACAGCAGAGCTACAGAATTCAGAGAGGGTCAAAGGGGTGGGGGTGGTAATATCCAAAGTGAAGGTATAGTCTCACGAGGAAGAAGGGTGAAGACAGCATTTTAGAGGAGCAGAATCCATTTTGTACACCAGCCCTCACCCCAGAGCCCTACTTACTCCCTCCATCTCTCGACAGGGGAGTTTCAGTTTGCCATTGCTGCGGATGACAATGCTGAGTTCTGGCTGAGTCCAGATGAAAAAACCTCTGGTCTCCAGCTGCTGGCCAGTGTAGGCAAGGTACAGTGCATGCTGCATGGCTTCTTCCATCAAGGCTTTATTGTTTCTGTGGGGATGAAAACCTTCCTGTCTCGCATACTTCCTTGGACTACACAAGTTTCTTTTCCTGACCAACTCCAGACACCACCACCACAGATGCCAGACGGGTATGATATGACATGACATACCTTAATATTGGCAGTGCTGTTGGGAGCCCCATGCTCGTGGTAAAGGGACTTAAATCTGTCCACAGGTTGTGGATCTCACAGACAGCTTACCAGGAGGAGTAGCTCACTTTTTCCTCTTCATCACTCCCAGCGCAATAACCAGGGAAGAAGCTCAACTTAACTAGAGCATTTTCTGTCTCTTCAGACAGGGAAGGAGTGGACCGCACCAGGGGAGTTTGGGAAATTTCACAGCCAGCAGTCAAAGATGGTGAGGTGAGTGAGCAGAGCCCCCAGCTCCCAGCCACTCCTGCACATGGCCAGGAAATCACAAGGATAAGGAACCCAGGCTTGTTCGGAAAATCTTAGCAATACAGAGAAAGGGATTACTCTAGGATATCACCAAAACTGAAGTGACACATCCACACCTCCACACCTGTGCTAGTTGCTTTGCTGATTTACTGCAGGAATGCAACACTGAATTTTTCTTCCCTGGAGGAAGCAGCCACCAGCAGATCCAGACTCCACTATGTGAACTGTATCCTGAGCTTCCTGCCATGGAACTGGCCAGGATTCCCAGAGGCCAAAACCCAGCAGGCAAGACTGAAAGGGAGTTATTCAGAATTAACTGAGAAGGGTCTGGAGTGCTCCAGGTGCACAAGGGAAGCTACCTATCTGGCTGTCAGCATCTGGATTTTCTTGGCAGTCCTAACCCTGCTCAAGCTGAGAATTAGGTTGTTTCATGGGTGTGGTTGCTCTCCACTCATTGTCTGCTGACAAGCTAAGAGATGTTCCCTAATGCTCTGGGTGACAGACATGTTGTTCTTCACAGGTTGTCGGCTGCAGGCAGGTACTATTTTGAGGTGCTGCACAAGCAGGATGACAGAGGAACGGACCATGTGGAAGTAGCAGTGAGTCTGTGCAAATGGCCGTGCTGCGTGTGCATCCCCGTAGTGCTCAGGAATGGTGCTTGTTAACAATTTCCCTCCTTTCCCAGGCCCCAGCTCCTCTTTGCATGAGATTTATCTAATCCCTTCCAGAGCCCTTACCTACTTTTATGTGGGAGAGTCCTGGCCACATGTCAGGACCCTTTCCTCTGCTTGTTTGGGATAGTTCTGCCCTCTCCGGTCTGTGCTTTGGATGTGTCCTGGGGGATCTCAGCTCATTCCCAGTCTTTTGCTGCTAGATAAACTCGGTCATAGTAAGGAGAAAAAGGAATCTGCGAGCCCATCTGGTGAAAAAAACATCTTGTGCCTGTTCCTTTTGTTCAGGCTTGATTCACTCCATAATTAATGCGTTTCTCTGTTCCAGTGGAGACCGAATGACCCAGAAGCGAAGTTCAAAGTCATTGACTCCCAGTACCTCTCCCTTTTTGCTAGTAAGTATCTTCACCACAGATTTCCCCGAGCACCTCCCCGTTCTTCCGAAACATATCAGTGGAGTTTCACCATGAATCACAGTCTAGCCAGGCAAATACCATGTGTACAGATCATTACAAGAAAGAAGTGGAGACAGGTCAGAAGAGATCTCTGGACTCATTATTAAGTACAGGAGAGTTGGAAGTAGGATTGGAACAGTGTTTCGGGGAAATCTAGAGGTGGTGAGGAGGGGCAGAGAGGAGAACCTGCAAGGGTGAGAGCTGCTCCAGATATGAGAGTGACACAGGATGGAGGTTGCCTGCAGAGGGCTCAGGGGAACGTGAGGGCAGTAACATGGGAGCTGTGGGAGCGTGCTGGCAGCTGGACTTGACCAGGGAGAAGGGGCCACTGTAGTACTTCCAGGAGATTTCACTCTGTGTGCTGGACACAATGGGATACGCTAGCGATGTTGGGGGGTGCTGCTTTCTTCTGTGTCAGCCTTGAGTCTCTTCAAGTTGCTGCTGGGTTGCAGCAAGCACATCGGCCCAGTTCCTCCTGTTTTGTAAACCCTTCTTAGCACATCAGGTGATGCTTTTATCAGTTAAGGAGCTCCTTAGTCCTGTTTACTCTTATCTAGCTATGTCAGTATCACTTTCGTCTGCCAGCTTCCCCGTTTCCGTATCTACCACTGTTGCTTTCCGACGTCTCTGGGCATTTTTCCATGCCAACACTTTTGCCCATGGAAGACTCCCTGAAGTAATCGAGACATCTGTTTGTTGTGTCTTGGATTGCAACCTGTTTCTGTATTTTCTGAAACCTGCCATTTGGCCAGGACTAGGCTTTCCATTCTGTCCCCATTCTTTTTCCTTCTACTCTTTTCTTCTTATTAACTTCCTGCAGAAGGGAAGACTCACATCCCAAAAGATTCCTCCGTGGCTGGGCACAGTGCTGCAGTCTCATCTTTATCTGGCATCCTCTGCCCATACAGCATTTCACTCCACCATATCAGCCTTTGGCTGTATCACATGTCACCCCATTCCTTCTGGGTTCCCATGTTGTTTAATACCCAAAAGTTGCTAACGGTAATCCCAGTGCCCTTGGCAGCATGTTGCCTTTCTCTCCTGGATATTTATTGAGTTCTCCTCATCTCAGAGTAAGATCCATGGAGACATGAAGTCCTCTGGCAGCAGCACCCAAGAAAAAACATAAGCAATACCCAGTCTTGACTTTAAGCTTCTTATTGCTCCTGACCTCCATTCCCCAGCTGGAGCATCATCCTCCTTAGCCACTAAAGACCTCACTCCAGGGTCTTGCTCCTTTTCCAGCACAGGAGAAAGCTCTGCTCCTCAGGTTTCTTTTCCCTTTCATCTTTTCTATCTCCTTTTAAAATAAACTTAATGCTAATAATGGCCGTTGGAAAGAGCTGACACTGAGGAGGGGATGAAAGGGGGGACACTGGGACAAGGGATGAAATTAGCCCTTCCTCCCCTTTCCGTTCTCTCTCTGGTTTCTAGACGAGACGCTCTTAAAGATGGATGAGGTTGGGCATATCCCGCAGACGTTGGCCAGTCACAGGAGCCGTCCCGCTGACGGCGCAGGCAGCAAGGCACACCCAGCTGACATGTTGAAGCCTGACCCCCGGGACACTCTTTACAAAGGTAAGGCTTGCAAAGCCCTTGGGGAAGTAGCTGCAGCCTGTCACAGCACGTGCAGTGCCACGGCCAAGAAAGATTGTCCTCCTACGCCACGGGTATCAAAGGCCACGGTTTTTGCTTCCCAGTGTGGAGGAGAGGGGCTGTATCTAATATCCCTCTCTGTAGGAGACAAAGCACAGACTAAACCCAGCTCCTCTTCTTGGCATCCAGCTCATGCGACATCCCCGGGCCTCATATTTCAGTGTAGGTGCAATGTAAGGCATAGAGCAATGTAAAGAAATGAGCTGTGAAAGATAGTTTGCTTTGTGTATCTGTTAGTATTTCACGTGCCTAAATGGAAGTCAGGCACACCAGTAGCTCAGCTGGTGCCTCGGTTGCAGCAGGGCTTCTCCAGCAACGCTTAGCCTCCCTGTTTCTTCTTCTCAGTGCCCCTCCTCAGCAAGTCTCGTGTGCGCCGAGCCCTGCCAGACTGCCCGTACAAGCCCAGCTACCTGGTGAATGGATTTCCTCTGCAGCGCTACCAGGGACTCCAGTTTGTAAGTTTTACTCCTTAAGCAGGTACTTGCCCAGGGGAACACAAAGAGAAAGGAGGGAGATCCCATTTACCTCCACCTATCTGAAGCTCCTGGGCAGATTTGACCATCTGCTGTTCAGGTCTCTGCATCCCAGGACATGCCAAAGGGCAACACCAAGAAAGGGGAGATGGGTGCTACGCTCTGCTCACAGGATTTGCTGGGGTACACGTGTGTGTGCATCTTACAGAGCCCCTCAGACCTCAAACCAAAGAGCTGAGCTTGCCTTCACCTGGAGCCTCGCAATGGCTGAGGATTTTATTCTCCATGGGATGATCTCCATGGGATGGACTACTAAAGCCCCTAACAAGCTTAAAACTGGTCTTGAGGGGGAGTTCACGTTTGTGGGGCATGCAACATATCAGGGATTAATCCCCTGCATAGCAGAGCAGGCTCTGAGGTCTGCTGGAGACAGGTTTCCAGCACGGTTTGCCCTCCCTGGATGCCAGTGCAAACCTGCACTCCCCAGGGAGCTCACATCCTGAGCAGCCCTGGTTCCCTCAGCTTCGCCTGGAGGTCTCGCCCTCAAGCTTTCTGGCCTCCTGTGATCTCCCGCATCTTTTCAGAAGGACTTGCTCACCTCTCTCCCAGCTAGTTCTCACTCTGTTCTAGGACTTAAATGCACAGTTACAGAGATGGACAGACAGATGCCAAAACAGAGAGAAAAAGGCATCCCCATGGACATATCCCAGCACTCTTCCCTCTGTTTTCCTTTCTCACAGCCTGCTACCAGGTGCCTTGGAGAGGCAAATAGTTAGTGAGCAACCGTTTTCTCACTCTCAAAAGGGCTGGTCACCCTGTGACTGTGTCCAGGTCACCTTGTGACTGATACCAAGCATTTCTAAAGGTTTTACTTTATTTTCCTCCCTTTTTCCCAGGTTCATTTGTCCTTTGTTTACCCGAATGATTACAGCCGCCTGAGCCACATGGAGAAAGACAACAAATGCTTCTATCAGGAAAACCCTTATTACTTGGAAAGGTAGGATGCTGAAAATATGGGTTTACTAGCAGGGAGGGAGGAGATGGTTTGAAGGCTAGAATTGGGGTGGAATTTCATACTCAATTCTCTAGGACTTTCCTAATTCTTAAAGAACCCCTAAGCCTTGTGCAACGTTAAAGCTTTTATAGTTTCTTTCGATAACTTAATGCTCCCTTTAAGTGTAAATATGTTTAGGTCTCAAGGGGAAACTGCTGCTGCTTTTCTTGCTCTATTAACCCGGTAGCTGGGTCAAAGCGTGTTTGTTCCGCTACATCAGGGAGTGCATTTCCAGCAAACTTTGCCTGCCAGCAGCTGGAGCCTCCTGATGGCTCTCTCTGTGACAGCCAAAGCGTGCTCACCACCAGGCATCTCTCTGGGGGAAGAAATGCATGGTTTTGTTCATCTTCACCGGAGTCTGGCAGTGGCCCTGCGAGGGATCTGCCATTCACGTGGTCCCCCCTGCCACAGGCAGACACCTGGTGTGAGGACCCCCCTCCATTCAGGAGGACTTTTTGTGCAGGATAAGGAGAGTCACTTTCCCAGTGAGATAACTGACCTGCCTCCCTGTGCTCAGCATCTTCTTCCTCCCTACAGGGCTATTCTGAGGGCTGAAACAACAGATCATATTGTAGGTTTGGGAGGGAACTCCTGGGACTGGGGTTCATAGTGAAGGATAGAGAAGGTGGCTGCCATGGGCTGGAAGGTGCCACCCACGTTTATTGCTTTGAAAATTCAATTGTATTGTGACAGGATTTGGGAACCGGGGGTCCATTTTGCTTGGCATCAAGCATGCATGGAGGGAAACAGTCCTGGAAATCCCTCCCAAAAGCTTGATGAGACACATGAGGACAGGACACAGACAGTGGTGGGAAGAGAGAAGAGAGAGGGAGATCATTGCAATTGCCTGCCTGAGCTGCTTTTGCAGCATGATGACTTGCATTTGTGAGTGCTACATCATTAGTGAGCTTTAAGGAGCAGCTTAAGGGAGGCTAAAGAACTATTTCAGGGTACTTATATTGGGATTTCCTCCTGTGCTTACGAGAAAATGTCTGAGAGACTGGGATGATAACCAAGGAAAGCTGACATCTTTGACACTGCAGAGTAAGATCTGATTGCCCAAGATTTGAAAGATAGAGATGATGATAGCCTATGACTTGCTGGGAACAGAAGATCTGGAGATGCTGGGTAGACGTAATCAGAGTAATTATTTGGAGAGGGCAAAGTAACTTTCATCAACCTTGAATTTTGCCCTTCCCTCTGCAGATTTGGATTCTACAAGTACATGACAATGGATCGGCCAGAGAAGAACCTGGACTCTGGAGAAAAGACAGAGCAGCCAGGTAGGGGCTCTAATTTCAGCCCAGAGCATCCTTGTATCTGACACTTTTGTGTGGAATCTTTCAGCACCAGCTGAAAGAAGCTGTTGACTTTCTGTACCAAGGAAGTCACAGTTTTTCCCTGCCAGATTGCTGTGGCTGGAAGGAAATTTTTGCTGCCACTTCTCTTAAGGGCAGGTTGGGAGGTCACCAAACAGTGGGCTGCAGTGGACAACGTGACAATTACCTCTCAGGCCCGCAGAGTAGCTGAGCTCCAATGCCAGCAAAAGCATGGGCAGAAGTGACAGAGCCAAAGGTGTGCAGCATGGCACACTGCCATACTTGCCCTGCAAGGCTGTGGCCGGACAGACAGCTAAAGGCAAAGCCAGACCCCTCCAAATGCGGGCTAATTGGTGCTGAGGAGGTTGGTACCAGCAAGAGCATGGCTCCTGTCTGCGAGAGCATCCCTGTCCCTCTGAGCAGGAGAGACAACGCTGAGATGAGGCGAGAAGTAGCGGGTGACTTCTTCACTGTGAGGGTGGTGGAGCACTGGAACAGGTTGCCCAGGGAGGTGGTTGAGGCCCCTTCCCTGGAGATATTCAAGGAGAGGCTCGACGAGGCCCTGGGCAACCTGGTCTAGTTGGGGGTGTCCCTGCTGACTGCGGGGAGGTCGGACTAGCTGACCTTTGGAGGTCCCTTCCGGCCTGGGCAATTCTATTCTATGATTCTATGACAGGGTCAGGAGGGGGAAAGCAGTGGGAGGATGCCAGAGGTGTAACTGTGATTACTCCTGCAGGCTCCCAGGAGGAGAACCTGGATGACCTGCAGTACATGGAGCAGGATGCAGGGACTACCAGCCCTCCCAGACGCCCTGGCACGGGGAGGGCAGAGCCGGCCGGCAACGCTCCCAGCAGAGTGGTGGGCACTGATAAAGTTCAGAAGGACTATTCCGTCCAGGAGCGTCGCCGGCTCCTCCTCTCAGTGACGGGTGGCCACACAGGAGAGGGGCTACAGAGGAGAAGGATGAAGAGGTCTGGTGTCAAGTCAGCCACGCTGGCCTCTGCCAACCGAAGCCTCAGCCAGACTGGCCTAGAGGGGAACCCAATAATGAAGAGACCTCATTTAAAAACCGGCATCAAAGACAACTCCAGGAGCCCTTCGCAGCACGCCAGGGCCGTCCAGGGGAGAGCAAGAAGCTGTTGACTTTCTGTACCAAGGAAGTCACAGTTTTTCCCTGCCAGATTGCTGTGGCTGGAAGGAAATTTTTGCTGCCACTTCTCTTAAGGGCAGGTTGGGAGGTCACCAAACAGTGGGCTGCAGTGGACAACGTGACAATTACCTCTCAGGCCCGCAGAGTAGCTGAGCTCCAATGCCAGCAAAAGCATGGGCAGAAGTGACAGAGCCAAAGGTGTGCAGCATGGCACACTGCCATACTTGCCCTGCAAGGCTGTGGCCGGACAGACAGCTAAAGGCAAAGCCAGACCCCTCCAAATGCGGGCTAATTGGTGCTGAGGAGGTTGGTACCAGCAAGAGCATGGCTCCTGTCTGCGAGAGCATCCCTGTCCCTCTGAGCAGGAGAGACAACGCTGAGATGAGGCGAGAAGTAGCGGGTGACTTCTTCACTGTGAGGGTGGTGGAGCACTGGAACAGGTTGCCCAGGGAGGTGGTTGAGGCCCCTTCCCTGGAGATATTCAAGGAGAGGCTCGACGAGGCCCTGGGCAACCTGGTCTAGTTGGGGGTGTCCCTGCTGACTGCGGGGAGGTCGGACTAGCTGACCTTTGGAGGTCCCTTCCGGCCTGGGCAATTCTATTCTATGATTCTATGACAGGGTCAGGAGGGGGAAAGCAGTGGGAGGATGCCAGAGGTGTAACTGTGATTACTCCTGCAGGCTCCCAGGAGGAGAACCTGGATGACCTGCAGTACATGGAGCAGGATGCAGGGACTACCAGCCCTCCCAGACGCCCTGGCACGGGGAGGGCAGAGCCGGCCGGCAACGCTCCCAGCAGAGTGGTGGGCACTGATAAAGTTCAGAAGGACTATTCCGTCCAGGAGCGTCGCCGGCTCCTCCTCTCAGTGACGGGTGGCCACACAGGAGAGGGGCTACAGAGGAGAAGGATGAAGAGGTCTGGTGTCAAGTCAGCCACGCTGGCCTCTGCCAACCGAAGCCTCAGCCAGACTGGCCTAGAGGGGAACCCAATAATGAAGAGACCTCATTTAAAAACCGGCATCAAAGACAACTCCAGGAGCCCTTCGCAGCACGCCAGGGCCGTCCAGGGGAGAGCACCTGCCACAAAGGCCAACCCTCCTTCTAGGACCGTGTCTCAAAGGCAGCAGCCTCTCAGCAGCCCCAGGAACTCAGGGGTCACAATTCCCAAAGGGCTGAGACCTCAAAGAGACCTCGGTACCACTAAAGATGGGCTGCAGCCAGCCAGTGCCATGCCAGCCAGGAGAGGAGGCCGGGTCTCCAGCAAAGCCAGCAGACATGCTGTGAGCACTGCCAGCCCCAGCCAGCAGCCTGGGCTGCCCCAGTGGCTGAATCAAGTGGAGACCTACATTGCTGAGCAGAAGGCTGCCAATGGAGGGGACGTGGGTGAGGGAGAGGCGCAGGTGGTATCTCCTGTGAAGGACAAGTCTGGACCCGTGGCGGCAGAAGAGGAAGAGGAAGAGGTGGATGGGGAGCTAGAGGAAGAAGAAGAGGAGGAGGATTTTGATTACGTACCAGTGTTCGACCAGGCGGTGAACTGGGAGCAGACCTTCAGCACGAGCAACCTGGACTTCCATATGCTGCGCACAGACTGGATTGACCTGAAATGCAACACGTCAGGAAACTTGCTGCTAAAAGAAAGGGAGGCCCTGGAAGTCACACGCGTCTTCCTGAAGAAGCTCAACCAGAGAAGTAAAGGGTAAGGCACTGTGTAAAAACCAAGGGGCAGTGTCCCAGAGCTGGTGTACCACGCTGCACAGGGAATACATGGCATGTGAGGAGCTAGTGGGAATCAGGGGAGAAACTAGATGTGAGAAATAAGACTTCAGGCAAGGAATCCACATAAAAACCTAGGTTTTAAATACCTCTTTTGGCTAAGAAATGGGAATCGTTGGACGCCAGACCATGTCTAGGGGCTGAATATCACCCTCCAAGAGCTCGTGGCAGTAAACATGAAAGATTGGAGGTTTCCATCCAGCTGGCAATGCTGGCCTTCTGCTGGCTTCCTCCTTGAGCAGCATGGGTATTGAGAGCACATAAGAGCATTTTACCAGCTGAAGATTAAGAAACTCTGCTGATATGAAGTGGGACTGGAGCTCCTTGTGCTTGTGGTTTGATGTCTGCCACATCTCAGCTTGTGAATCACTTAGGACACAGGACCAGAAGGGACCTATCAGATAATGTGGATCAGTACACTGACCTCTGAGACAACCAAGTACCCTACATTAATCAAATGAATGTGTGCACCTCCATCTTAAAAGTGGCTAGATTTCTAGATCCTAGTACTGATTTGGGAAGGTGTTTCTGCTCCTCGCTTCTTTGGTGACCCACTGGATATCAGCTCTTGATGGTACTCTGTTTCTAGATGGTCTTGATATGGTTCTTTTTCTTCTCAAGACTTATCATCTTGATTGCCTTTATGGCAAACAGATGTACAATCCAACACCTGACTTTTCTGTTGAGTTAGCCTCTATTTCCATAATATTCCTGTACGTAAGTGACTAGTATCCTGGGTTTTTTTGTAGAATGGCTGTTACTGGTTCCCAATCTCTGCTGGAAGTAACTCTTGTACTACATCTTAAGATCTCTTGTTTTTTCAGGGCCACATCAATCACAGTCAGGGTGTAATTGATGAGTACACGCGAGTTTTTCTCAGCATTTTTTACTTAGGAGTTCCCATTTTACAGCAGAAACTCTTGTTATGATCGGAAAGGACACGAACTGGCATTTCATCCTGTTTTGGCCATTCCAAACCTACAGCTCACCCCGTTTTTTGCTGTGTGATTGCTCAGTCCTACTCCATCTTATTGGCTGATAAGCTGTCATCAGCCAATTCCACTAGCCCAAACATACTCCTTGTGCCAAGACCGTTGTAGGAGGTGTTGAATACACTCACTATTACCAGCCCTACAATCATTCAGACACATTTGTTATTTTCTGTGTCACCTTTATTTCGTTTCCCTTGCCAACTATTTTCTCTTGGCTGGAATCCCAGATCTAATCCCACACGCTTGTGGATTTAGGAAACAGGTGCTAAGACCTTCCCATGGGACTTTGGAAGCGACGCAGCAAAGCTGGGGGGAAGCTGGGGACAAAAAGGCTTGGGCTAGTCGGGAGGAAAGAGCGCCTGGCAGAGCTGAGGGGGCTGGAGGTGGGAGAGGGGCTGGGGTAGAGGGGCCGTGGCCACCCCAGCTGTATCTCCTGCAGGCGGTTTCAGCTGCGGCGTATCGTGAACGTGGAGAAGCGGCAGGACCGCATGCGGGGCAGCCGCTACCTGCTGGAGCTGGAGCTGCTGGAGCAAGGACAGCGGCTTGTCCGCTTCTCCGAGTACGTCTTTGCGCGGGGCTGGCAGGGCGTTGGCGGCAAGGAGGAGGAGGAGGAGGAGAGGAAGATGAGGAACCTGGTGTGGGGTCGCCGGCGGCACCTGATGGCTGTGGCGAACGAGCCAGAGTTGTGCTGGCCCCAGGGCTTTTCCTGGAACCACCGGGCTGTGGTTCACTTCGTGGTGCCAGGTAAGGGGGACCTGCCTCCCCGGGACATCAAGGAAAGGCACGATGGGTGGTTCCCATGAGGGCAGTCTTGAACAGTGGGTCTGGGCCAGCCTCAACTGTCTTATTTGGGTCACTTCTAATTTCTGTTGTCTCCAAGTTAAACCCCCTCAGAAATATGAGAGGGCCCAAACTCTCCATGCTTGTAAGCATGGAGAAAATTCCTGCCACACTCTGGGAAAGAACCCACACTCATTCCTGGTCTCTTTGGTCCAGGTTTTCAGCCTGAGCCTATTTCAGCATCCCTGCAAGCTTAGGAGGGTTTGAGGGGAGGCAAGAAGCCTTGTTTGTGGAGACGCCATGCCATCTGTGAAATCAATTTTGCTTTGATTCTCTCCCTTTCGCAATACAACCAGTGAAAAACCAGGCACGCTGGGTGCTGCAGTTCATCTCTGACATGGAAGAGCTGTTCCGAGTCACTAAGGATCCATACTTCAACGTCATCATCACAGACTACAGCAGCGATGACATGGACGTAGAGAAGGCTCTGAAAAGGTCTAGCTTGCACAGGTGAGAGTACTGCTTGGTCACAAAAAACCGCTCACGTGCGTGCGCCAGCAAACACAGCACATTTGCCCATCTCTGTGTGTTGACCAGCCACTGCCTTCTGCAGCTGGAAACCCAAAAACTACATCCATCCAGACCTTGCATATACATGTGCATGTCTTTTTGTTATAATGTACATGCATGAATACTGCATATAATAGCATTATAAAACTGTAAGGCAATACCTATTGTAGTCATCCATCCAGATGCATCTCTTTTCTCCTGGCTTTTGTTCAAGTTTGCAAGAGAGGGCAGAAAGCAAGTCTGGCAGTGACGGGGCAGGGGGAGGACAGAGAAGACAAGAGAAATGAGAAAGAGAGTGTGGAGACCCCTGGGGATTCCACTGGATGGAATAGTTCTCTGGCTTACCATAGTCTGAACTGAACCAGCCTTGGCTGATCCTTTTCTTTATGTACCAGGGGTTCCCAATAATAGGTCTAGTCCTAGGACAGAGCTGGGCTAGAGCGGAAAAGACTTTTGCCAGGGAGTGCCATGTCCTTGCTGCATAAATGAGAAGACCTTCAGGACATGCTGGGCCCTAGAGCAGCACTGAGCTTGCACAGTCGTGCAGCAAAGGCTGTCCTTCTTGCGAGGGTGCATGGGGGTGAGGGGCAGCTCCACAGTGTGATGCCCACCCACCCACCAGCATGCACACACTGAACTTCTCTTTCCTGTCTGACCCACAGCTATCAGTACTTGAAGCTGACGGGGAATTTTGAGCGTTCTGCTGGGCTGCAGGCGGGGATAGACCTTGTGACGGTAAGCCTGGGGGCCATGGGGTCTACAGGAAAGTTTCTGGTATGCTTCCAGTACTACCTCTTGGCCTTCGTACTGAACACGCTGGGTTTTAGGGAAGGAAATAGCCTAGCAAACCAGATCAAACATAGATGTGTTTCCTGTCCCTTCAGAGTAAGGGTCTCTTCTTCCCTTACTCCACGAAGCCTGTGGTCACTTCATGGCCCACCTGCTGGGACTATCAGAGAGCAGGGAAATCAGCAGTATCAGCTTTATGACACTGGGTTTGCCAGGTCATAGTATTTCGTGCCATAGTCATAGTATTTGTAGTCATAGAATTTCATACCCACCATTGAACAGCAAGTCAATGGCTGTTTTGGTATCCCCTAGGACCTCCACTTCTGTTTTAGCAACAGATGGCTCGTAATTGACTCCCCTGTCTTTTGTCTTCCTGCCCTTTTAGACTTACTTAAAGTTAATGTATTTTTTTCCCAACCGGTGTGGTTGGTTCCAGGACCCACATAGCATCGTTTTCCTGTGTGACCTCCACATCCACTTCCCAGCTGGAGTCATTGATTCAATCCGGAAGCACTGCGTGGAAGGCAAGATGGCCTTCGCACCCATGGTCATGAGGCTGCACTGTGGCATGTCCCCACAGTGGCCTGACGGTAAGAGGTAGTGGAATCTCCTTGGCTCAGACCTCGGGGAGCGGGGAAAGCAGAAGGGTGCTTGTGACCTCTAGATTTGTTCCTCCAGTGCTATCAAAGCCTGGAACTTACCAGTGCCCCTAGGTGGGATCGCACTAGACATAGGATGGGGTTTGACAGCATCAGGTACTTGGAATTTGAGACCAAAGAGCCAGCAGAGCCCTTTATGTAATGTTTATCGGTTCTCCTAGGGGTCTCTATGGATTTGAGGACCCTCGAAAACCCCTTCTTTATTCCTTTTGTTCATTTCTCTCTTTTTTTAGGGGGCACGGTCTGTCCTGAGGAGAGCTGGTAGCCTAGGGGTGAGGGAAACCAAACCAAGTCAGAGGGAGGAAAGTAACACAGATTATCTGAGCATAGGATTTCCTTTAGACAGAGCCATCTCCTGAGCCATCCAGGAACAGGGATAAACCCTTGAAACTGGGACAGTCCGTGTGCATTAGGTGCTATGCTGCCCAACAGGAAACGTTAGAGAATCTGCTGGCAAATTGACAGTACAGCCCATGCTCTCTGTCTGCCAGCCTTTCTCACTTCCCAAAGCTTTAATATGGTTGGCTCTGCCTTGGTTCTGAGTTGGCTCTCTGGTGGCAACGTCGTGCTAGAAGTAGCTTGAGTCTCAGGAGTCGTCAATGGTTCAAAGCACCAACATACCTGTGCCTCTTTTATGCTGTCCTCAGGTTACTGGGAGGTGAATGGGTTTGGTCTCCTGGGCATATACAAGTCTGACCTGGACAAGATTGGAGGCATGAACACAAAAGAGTTTCGGGACCGCTGGGGAGGAGAGGACTGGGAACTCCTGGACAGGTAGGCATTCATTGTCATCATTCATGTGCTCAGGAGGGAAAACCCATTAGATCCTGGAGGACTAAGGACCATGGGAGTGGGGATCTGAGGAGACTAAGCGACTAATGTCACCATAAGCTTGGTCAGTGAGGGGGAATCTTTGAGCATGTTCTGACCTCAAACCTACTTGGCGAATGGACCTGAAATACACTACCACAGCTAGTGATAAAAGAATAGAGGCACCATGTCCTGGTGCCTTCCAGCCACACCGCTGGTTGGGCCCGAGCAGATCAGGCACTGGCGACTGTGAAGCCTTTGTCCTCTTCAAGCAGTGCACAGTGGGGCTGGTTTGGGTCCCTCAGGCTTCCCACTCTACGTATAGCAATTGCTCAGATGAGCAACTTTTAGAGAGACACTTAACTATCATGAGGTACAGTTACAATTTCTGAGAAGTTTATAATGAGGGGTGCCTGCTGTACAAATCCTAGGCCTCTGGATTTGTAGTTCTAGGTTTTGGGGCCTCTCCTGTCTTTTCTGTCAGATGTCAGATGACATCCTGAGCAATCCCATGTCGCCAGCTGTCTTTCCTCCTAGCCTGGCATGTGCAGCCCGCTCCTGACCAGTCCTGCTCTCAAGGGTGCACAGACACTCAGCAAGTGTCATTAGACACCTGCTGATGGATACGAGATCCCTCTGAGCTATTCTGGACTCTTCAGCTTGATTGCAGTCTCTTCACAACTGGACAACTTTTAAAAGAGATTTCCTGGGGCTGAGCCCCCTTGATGTCTTTGTCATCAAGTTTCCCCTTCTCCTTTCTGCCAGGATTTTGCAGGCCGGGCTGGAAGTGGAGCGTCTCTCCCTGAGAAACTTTTTCCACTGGTTTCACTCAAAGAGGGGCATGTGGAACCGGCGCCAGCTGAAGACGCTGTAGCCTTCAACCCCAAAGCTGCCTGGCAGCGCCGTCCGTCGTCTCGTCTCGACGTGCACTTTATGGAGGCACACAGCCGAGTGCACAAACTCTTCCTCTGCCTCCAAGAGCCCTCCGGTGGGACGGCACGGCCGAGGAAGGGGCGATCAGACTAGGGGAGCGGGAGCTTCTCTTGTGAGCCGTTGTATCCAAGACGTGGGATCCGTGTCTTGCTGGGAAGGCGTGGGGGGGAGATGTTGACAAGTGAAGGACTCGTATTTCCTGCCATGCAGTCTGGCGGATGGTACGGTGGGACAGGTGCCATATTTCCCGTTGAGTCTTGCGTGGTGCAAACCAAACAGACAAATCCCAGCTAATCCCAGAATGGTTTATTTACAGTAACGCAGCTTTTCTTTCAATACTTGAAGGGGAAAAAAAAAAACAAACAAAAAAAAACAAAAAAAAAGAGAAAAAAACAACCAACCCTCCCCATTTCCCCTCCTTCCTCATCTCTCCGGTATCCATGCTTTTGGACAGGGGACCAAAATAAGTTCTCTGAACTGTATTGTGTCCACATGCCCATGTGCTGACCCAAGGAAATCTGGATGTGGAGGAGCTGATAGGCACTTTAGGCTGCTGGTGCTTAGATGTTTCTCTGTGCTTTTCACTTTAATCATGATGAAAAACCATGTTCCTATTCAGCAAATAGTGGGCAGTGGTTGGAGACTCGAGGACTCTTCCCTTATGAGAGCCACATTTGCCTGCAACTGGGCAAGGTGGCCAGGGTTGATGTTACAGCTCCACCTACATTATTGATCCACTGCCTGGGGATAGTGGAGGCGTTATACAGAGAAGCTAGGAGGGCATCTCAGGAGGAACTTCGCAGCCTTATCTGACAGACATGTGTGTTTGTCCTAACGATATCAGGGAAACCCTAGCAGGGAAGAAGTGGCAATATTTTATTAGTTGAAATATTGTGATTTTTTCAGAAGAAGAGGAGACAGAGTATTCTGCTCCCTAAATCCTGTACATTTATGCAGCATCTAAAGGTTAATTTAATAAGTTATGGCCTCACAGTTATGTCTTATCATATGTTTGACTTTTACGTAAAGAGCAGGCTTCTTGGTTGAAGAACCGGCACAGCTGTTGGTGCTTCATCTCTGGAACAGCCCTGGGAGATCCAGAGGAGGTGGCCTCAGGCCTTGGCACTTGCACTGAGCATAGGAAACAGCTGGAGAGAAGAAGGTTGAGTGAATAAAGGATGGGCAGACCCATGCCAGCACTGACCCAAGAATTGAGGAGAGAGCCCCTGCCCACAGCCGGCCTGATGCTACAGGGAATTCTCAGCCCCTAAAGCTACCATTAATGTAAGGCAAGATTTTTTTACCCCTTTAACCATTTTATGGGAATATAGAGACCCCAGCACAGTCAGTGCTTGGCACTGGAGCTTCGGTGTCCTGATTCCATGCTGAAAAGGCTGCTACTGGTCTCAAGCTTGAGGGAAGAGCGTGCCATAGGATGCAGCTTATGGCACCCAGCTCTGGGGGGAGTTGTTGGAAAGTGAGTAACAGAGGTGTTCAGGACAGAAGCAATGCTGATACGGTTCTAGAGTTTTTTTGCTTTTTACACTGACAGAGTGGATGCCGATTCAGAGTAGACATTCATTTATTATTAATTCTGTGGTGCTTGACAAGTCCATCAAGATCCATTATTGCAGTAAAAAAACTGAGCGTGCAAGTCCTGGCACGTGAGATAACAATCTTGTCAAATCATCTGTTTGCCGGAGTGTGGGTTTTGTGACTGGGGGAGTAAAAAAAAAGTCAACCAGATTTCAGAAAGTTTGGCTGTGGAGTGTGCAGCGATGGTGAGAAGTAGACGAGAGATGGCTGTGTCTCTGAGTCCATGGAGCTTTTTGCCAGAAAGCAGACACTGACTATCTCAGAAGAGGCAGCCTTAGCCTTCTGCCCAAGCCAGAGCAGCTTTTTTATTGAGGGAAGGTACTTTACCCATGTGGAGACGAAGAAATGAAACGCTGCCGTTGGGGCGAGAGGGAAGAGGCTGGCAACAGTCAACACTATTATTTAAAAAAAAATAATATCTATATACCGTAGGAGTTTAGGAGGCCGTAGCCCTGTGATGCAACGTGGCAATAAGCTCTGTTTCTGGCTGGAATGTGCAGCGTCAGTCCTGCCCTGGGTGCGTGTCGGAGCCTGTGCTTCACTCAAAGGCAGGCACAGCCCCAGCGGTGTGCAGGGGAGCCGGGCTCCGGGGCTGCACCCCTGCAGCCTGTCCGGGCTGGCTCTGTCACGCAATCCCTGTGGAATGGGGAGAGGCTGGCGGGGAGGGCGAGTGCCGGGACACAGCGAGGCGTTAGCAGGACCCGGCTGTTTGGCCCCCGTCGAGCAGAGAACAGCACGATGCCCATTTTGCAGGTGGAGAGCTGATGGATTTGGTGGCAGCCCTTAACGTCATGTGCAGGGAAGGAAGGGTGGTTTGTACCACATCTGGCTGAGATGTGGTCTGCAGCACCTAAAGTTAGCAGCTGGCGTTCATCTGCAGGCACTGGCAAAAATTAGGAACATCCAGAAGGTAACTCAGCTTCAGTGATACTAGTAACCCCTCTTCTTCACCAGAGAGGAGAGTCGGCAAAGAGTGGACAGCAAAGTAGGGTGCAGCCCTCACTCCAGCACTGCCAGCAGAATTTGAGGATTTCACCCCCATGCTTTAGCTGTGACTGTGACTGAAGGAAGGACTCCTTCCTTCGTGCCTTGTAACCCGGGCCAGTGGCAAGCAGAGCTCTTTACCTTGTGAGGACTCCTTGGTGGAGATGTAAGGAGTTTAGTGGGTTTCAGTCCAGTTTCCTGATGGCCAGTATCCCCACTGTCAAAGTTGCCATCGCAAATGTTCTCCCCTCTCTAGCACAGTGGGGATTTTTAGTTGGTATTTAAGCCCCGCGACAGTAAATGTGATTAATACTAGTTGGCACAAGTTGGAGGAGCTTGGAGAGAGCCCATGGGGACAAAAGCTGTGTTCCATCCCATGTGCTCAGAGACCACTGTGGGCTGAGAGGGAGAGATGGGGCTATACACACCTCGGCTTGCTGGCCAGCAGCAAAACTTGCAGCTATTATTCCGAGAGAAATGTATTGTGTGAAAATTATAATGTGACTTGTTTTGTCATTGTCTTTAGTGTTTGCTTGGTATGAACATCTCGCCTCTTCTCATTGCCTACAAATGTCTGAAGTTGATTGTTTTCTTTAGATACCGATGCCTTGTGTTAAAAATCTGAATTGTACCTTTGAATTCTCTGCCTTAAAGTGGCTCTGTGCCTTCAAGACGACTCCTGGGCCACCTCTCTGCTAGAGCTGGGGGGATACACTGATTCTCCCTCACGTTTTATAAATACCTTGTCTTCCTACAAGAGCTCAGTTCTGTCTGTGTGTTACTCACCCTCTCATCGCCACGCATCAGGGGCTAGAAACCAGGTGTTGCTCCTCTGGCTTCTTATAACTGAAGGCATGGGCAACACCAGAGAGACAGGTCACTCTGCCCAAGCTGGCGAGAGCTCTGCAGCCAGGTGGGAGATGCAGCGAGCAAGGTTAGACATGAGACCTGTTTCAGTCCCTGCTAGGACTGTAGAAGGTGGGGTGGAAATAAAACAAATTTCTCCTCATGTCATGTGAAACAAGGTGGAACCACTGGAAAAACACACATCCCAACAAAGCAGAAGTGCAATGTGATCATAGAGAGAGAACGTGGAGATCGAAGTGGTCCCTCTCGCAAGCAGGGGACAATTCCTGGAGAAAACCACAGGTGAGAGCCTAGACCTGGTCTCAGTACTTGGCACAGCCTACACAAATGGGAGGTCACCCCTTTCCTGGCAACTGCTTATTTAGGTTCAGATTTGGCCCCTTTTCACTTTAACTGTGCGTCCTTTGAGTATAAAGAGCTTGGCAGGAATGGGAGTAAGACATGGGGAGGGAAAAAGGCAGCCAGGGCTGCTTAATGAGTTTGATTCCATTGTAATGAGAAATCATTATTAAAGCTGATTGGGGGAAAAACGTTCCAGCACACTGCTGGTCTCCTGCTCACCTGGGCTGGGTGACAGGAGGCCCTCCCTGCTCGGGCAGGTCTCACACACCGCCGTACCTGACCTGGCAGCTCTCTGAGACAATGATGTTGAAGTTAAGGTCTGGTAATGAAATTCCCCTCACTGCTTCTTTCCCTAGCTGAACCTTTCCTTTTTTTTTTCTTTTTTTTTTTTTTTTTCTTTTTTTATTTCAGTCTTCAAGATATGGCATAATGGGACCTGGTTACCTTAAAATAGCCAACTGATTCCTCCTCCCAACTCCTTCAGAGAAGGGGTGTTATTATCTCCAGTAATAAATGGAGGGGCAGGAGGAGCAAGGTGCGATT